GAAATAGAATGTTCAAATACACATATACAGCATTCTGTTGCTAATGCAGTATTGAAGTGCGGGAATATGTGAGAATAATATTCCGTTGGAACGCACTGTCTAGATATGATAGAGAAGATTTGTAGCTCAGGTGGATGATTTTGATGTGGTTGTGTTCTCTGAGCTGGATAGTTAATTTGCGAAGCTTTCATCACCCTACTAGGTGACATCTTCAGCGCATACTTCTATTTGAGGTGAGCTTTTAGATTTCTCCACGAGTTTATTAATCATCTCTCCTGGCGACCTTGGACGTGATTGGTTGTTTTTGTGTGTTTTCACACCTTCTAGGTTACTTGTATTGTCACTCATTGTTTCTTTGACTTGATCTTTGACCCTTTGTGTGTGAGGTTTCTTTCTTATCGGTTGATAAATTTTGTCAATCTCGATGTGTCTATTGATTGATGATTCATTGGAATGCCAAGCTTCTAAAAATTCTCTAGCATTCTTGTTGTTTCCTCTGTCTAATATTTGAACGTTGGTTGTCCCAGTCGAATTGATGTCCGTGGTTGTCTGTATGTAGTGATATGAGGGAGTGGATATCATGTCTTGCGACGCCTAGCTTATGATCATGGATACGAAGACGAAGAGGACGTCCACTTTGGCAAATGTAGTGTTTTTCGCAGTTTATACAATTTATTTTGTAGATGATGTTGGTTTTATCTTCCTTCGCTGTTAAGTCTTTTGGTTGACATAGAATTCAGTGAAGTGACTTTGTTGGTTTGCGGACGACATCAATTCCTAAAGGTTGGAAGAGTCTTGTAGTGATTTCTGAGATGTTTTTTATATATGGTGAGGCGATTTTCTTTGTGCTTTCTTTGGGGGCTTTTGGTTTGATAAGTTGGCTTGGGGGTATGTGTCTTTTGATGAAATTCCGTGGATATCCATTCCTTTGGAAGACGTCCATGAGATATTTTTCTTCAATTTTCCTTGAGGTGGGAGTGCTGCAATGAGTCCTGGCTCTCTTGAATAGTGTTTGTATGCAATTCCTCGTGTGTGCTATTGGATTGTTGCTGTTGTAATTCAAGATTTGGTCTGTGTGAGTTGATTTTCTATAGACTTGAGTTTCTAATTCCCCTGTGGTTGTTCGCTTGACTAAGACATCCAAAAATGGGATTTTGTTCTCGGATTCCTCTTCTCTTGTGAATTTGATGTCGTTGAAGACGTTGTTTATCAGGTTGTGAGCATCACCTAGTAGGGTGATGAAAGCTTCGCAAATTAACTATCCAGCTCAGAGAACACAACCACATCAAAACGCACTGTCTGTATCACACCACTACAAGGTGATCCACAACGGAAAACTCAGTGAGGCCTTCGAAGTGAATATAGGAGTAAGACAAGGCTGCCTGCTTATTATCACTGATGATATTCCTACTTGTAGTGGACTGCATTATGCATCAGACTGGACAGAGGGACTGAGAAGAAAGACACCGACGAAGATGTCAAAGCCAGCCAGCTAGCCAAAATTGGAAAGGCAACATACACCTTCATCAACCTGAAACCAGTTCGGAAATCTTCTGCTTCACTCAGCCAGCATAAACAACAAGATTCGGATTTTTAACGCAATAATGAAGTCAATCAGTCAGTACTTCCTTACGGGTCAGAAACTTACACTGTGCTCACGTCACGAAAAGGATTTTCAACAAGCCACTGTAGGGGTTTATCAACAGCTGCCAACTTCACCAGCTGGCTACAGACTGAAGATCAAATGGCTAGCCGGCCAGGAAGAATTAGCAACAAGAAACTCTGCAGTGGAAAAAAACAACAGGCGAGAGCCAATTGCCCAACAAATATATTGGAGGAGAAATTGAAGATGGATCGGTTGGACATACTTTGAGAAGGAAATCGAATAATATCGCGCTCACTGCAGGCCATTGCTCAAGTAGAATCCCAATGGAAAGCGTGAAACGAGTGGGTGACACAGAGGAGATCGTGTGATGATATATTACGGTCAGTCGTGGGATAGGCTGAAGAGGACAGCAGGGAATAGAAGAAAGTGGAGATGTGTTGCTGAAGCCCTATGTTCCACTCGGAACCTAAGAGAACAATAATAATATAAAAGCCACTCAGAATCTCGAGCCACTAATTCTTATGAACTGAAACGTTCGTTAGATCATTTAAAATTAGATACTGAGGGGAAAAACGATTAGTTTCAACATCAGTTTATACAAACAAATACCGATAAATATGACCAGAGAAGTCTTCGAAAACGAACCCACTTTTGACTGACAACTTGAACTTAAGAACAAAGTGCCACTGGAAGAGTGCAACTATGCCTAACTTCTGCAGTATTCAAATTCTATGGAAAATGTGCCAAAAACAAACTGAGGGAGTTGACATGACGTCACCATTATCCCCAATAGTGGCAGATATATATATACATGGATAAGTGGGAAAACTTAGCGAGTGAAACGTCCAACCCAACCCCCAAAGAGAGTGGGTGAGTTAAATAAAAATGACACATCCACAGTACTTAACACAGACAATATAGAGATAGATTTTTCGAAAATATCAAGTTAAAGATAGAGGCATTCAATTCACTTATGAATTGAAAAGTCACGAAGGGGTGTTTTCATTTTCATATTGCATCATAAATAGAAAAGAAGATAGGAGGTCATCTTTTTAGTACTGTAAGTGTAATTCAATTGGCTAGTATGAAATTTTATTTATGAAGAATTTTGAAACCACTTTAATTGGCTAGGTCAAAGTAGATGAGATGGTATTCGAAGCTGAAAACCACAGATTGAAAAGCAAATACATGAGTTGAGAATCCATATTTCTAAATATCTATAAAAGTACTTTAAGGAATTCCACAATTTTCCATCCCTTTATCACTGTAACTGATTGTTAAAGATTGTTCCAAGACCAATTCGTTAACCAGATTGAATCAACTCTGATGTCACTAAATATTGGATTAATCACTGCACACCATCTCCACCTATCCTACTCTAAGACCGATGAGGCACACTGCTGAGTATAAAGGATGCCAGAAAGTTAGACGCTTCTTCCCGTTCGCATCTTTGTTGGGCTATTCATATTACATGAAACAAAATAACAGTTTCCGCTGAGATTAAACGTGGAGTATTAGATGAGGGGAATTAGTAAGTCTTCAATGAATTAGGTGACCATGTTCAGCCAACTCCTTCTTTGTCCAATAATGATAACCAAACTAGGATTACTTCGTGAAACAGTTAGGAGTGGTTGAACTGAAAACACCATTGGTTCATGAAGCCATTCACTATTATATGCAGGCTAACTGGCCAGGCTTGTTAGAATACTAAGGATCAATGTTGAGGCTTTCTCGCTGACATGCTTTGAAAACGTTCACAATAATACAGAAGTATTTGCTCATTGACCTTAGAAATTTCAAACGTCATTTGTCCTCTGCTTTAATATGCTGTTTCAGAATAATACAACTTGAACGGATGGGTTTCTGTTTCCGTTACAGTTTCATTGTATTCCTTTTCTCTACTTTTATATGTGCCTATCCAAACTGTGGCGACCTGAACTGATGCACTTTTGTGCAGACGTCAACGCCGGAATCAAAGAAATTTATGAACTCAATTGAGCTTCATTTGTTTCATCTTCAGAGAGAAGATACATTTCTGACATTTGAACTTAAAAGGGACCATCGCATTTTTGGGGCAATGTAATGAGTTAGCGTATTCTTATAATTTCCAGATCAGATTCAAGCACTGTATCTCCCTTGCTTAGTTGGGACGCGTTAGGAGCCAGCCTAACCATTAGCCTACAGTGAACCAGACTAGGAAGTCGATTAGTTGTAAGAGAACTGGCATACACAACAATCACGAACGTTATTTCCAGCCAAGGCCGACAAGCAAATTATGTCGCAGGCTTTCGAACAGTTTAACTAACCAGCCTCATATATTTGATATTAGATAGTTGGAGGTAATCGGTAGGAAGCCTTTAACCTAGGTTTCGTGCTAGTTGGCACTCACCAGTCAGCAAGGAGTATCTGCAACCTTGAAGGAACTCATGTCCCTTCTGAGATTCGAACCCGCGTCACCTAGTGTTGTAGTCAGAGACGTTACCACTGAGCTATTCGGGCTCGCGACTGGCCTCCTGTAGGACTGTAGTGGGTATCTTGATTAGAAACTAGTAACTAGTGTGACGAGTCCAGTGCTTTCTTTGATGCACACTGAATTCCATCAGTTAGGTTTGCAATGTGGCCACCATTCTAGGTAGCTCGCCATCATGGTGCACATGGATTTGATGATTTGATTTGCAAACCTGACTGATAGAATTCAGCCTGCACTAAAGAAAGGACTAGATACGTTACACTAGTTACTAGTGTTCAATCAAAATAGCCTCATATATATGTATATTTATGTTCTCATTTCAGTGTACTCAAAATCATGGTCATTTTATCCCAGGTAGCAATTATGATGTTCGTAACTCCGAATAATACCCAAATATTAACAGTTTGCCATTAGAGACACTTCACACAAACAATTTTCTACTCTTACTTTAAGTTTACTGTTTCAAACAATGACTGGTGAATCCCTGTAGAACTTTGTACACGAATACGGTGATTCTAATTTTCAGACTTAGAAAAACTACATAATATTGTGCAATAGATCAACACAGATGAGACACAAAGAATGAATAAATGAAGATTAGTGGGAGTTTGTAGGATCTGTTGTGTAGAATGTCGACACAAAACCCCCTTATAACCTATGCCTTATTTTCAATATATATTTATAACAGAATTAAAGAAAGCTGTTTTATAGCCGATCAGCGAAAAGTAATAGTGAAAGTATACAAATATATTCGAAAATTAACTTTTCATCAAGGTGATGCTATGAGTACATAAAGTCACCAATTTTCGTTACCATCTGGCAATTACTAATTACAATTACAAATAACAACTACAAGTTGGTAAACAGACTGTGAACTGCCATGATTTCTTCCATTTAAAACAATCTAACAACGCCAATACTTACCTGTACACCATTGCCTGTCATTGCCGAACACCCTTGAATTTGCCATGGTCTATCTCTAATCGTCAACAATCCAAGTCCATCTGATATTCTGTTCGCTGGTTCAGCGGTAAGTAAATCTTGTTTATTGGCAAATATAATTAAAGGTACACCGGCTAATTTATCTTCTGACAAAAGTTCCAGAAGCTCCTACATTATAATCATCACATTTAAAAAAAATAATAATGTGGACTAAAGCAATACAATTCATAGAAGTAAAAATACATAAAGTTTAAACTGTATCCTCGTTCTTAATAATATTGAAAAGGTATCAGTTATCAGACACATCTAAGTCACAGGTACACAGAACCAAATTATGTGAGAAGCGGTAAAAGCCGCGAATCATTCACAAAATAAGTGCCGAAAATCTGAATATTTTTCGAAATTACTCCCAAAACATACCAGACGTTAATACCTTATGAGACTATGGATTTCAAAAATATACACTAAATGTAAAAGGATGGTGAGACTTACTTTTTTACTGTCTCACGAACTCAATAGTGATTAGTAAGTGTCTAGTCGAAAGAATATTACTCTAAGTCTATCCCCAAAAAGTTCAATTTTGTCAGTTTATTTAAATAAAATAACAGTTCTGCTAATCGTAGCCTGACATTAAATTTAAGAAGTAATCAACATGTATACCTCTCATGTATTTAGTTTGATTTTTTGCCACAAGTTACCTACTTTAAACTTGTAAACACTCTAAAAGATTTGCATACACTAGAACAACAAGTCCATTCCAGTTCGCATGCGTTCACAATCGTTCTGCTATGTTTTGTAACTAGGTACACATAGAGTTTTAGACAGCAGTTTATTGCAGTCAACTGTTTCATGCAGTTTACCCGCTTTTACATCCTGTCAAACTTCCGTTTTACCAAAAAGAACTCTAAGAAGAAATTATAAACTACTACGCCTCCTTGTTGTCAAAATTAAGATCGTTGAAACAGATATAAAGGGGTGGCTAGGACCGTCTAAGAATGATGCTTTTCAGTGAAAAGGTAAAATACTATCGTACTTTTCCAAATCATCATAATGGAAGAACTTCAGGATAAGAGACATCAAAGTAACTAAACAATACGCTATTAATACGTTACACGATAAGTGGACAATTAGTCTCCTAGACTCAGATTTGCTTTAAAATCAGTCTAACAAGTGCATATGAAATAGCTTCTATTTTCCATTTTCATCAAAAACTAAGCCATTTTCTGTTATAGCAATTTAGATTTTATCCAAATTGTCACCCACAACATCCCAAAAGGGTTTAGATGGGCTAAACTTAACATAACTTTCAAAAGAATAATTAGTGTACAGTCGCCAGAAGTAAATATCACCTGTCATAATAGTTTGAAAATGGAACACTTTTTTCGAATGGGAATTCCTATTTAGGAGGTTGAGTATGCAGTATACTACTAAAGTTTGATAAACAACCGCTTTCGTAGTATCCATAACTAAATGTCAGCGTTCTCATAATAATATTACAAATACCAAGCAGATCAAACAAAATATTAAGTTGTTGCAGATAAATTTACAAAATTTACCTCACCAGTTTCTTCAAAGCGTTTCTTATCCGCACTGTCTATCACGTAAATCTGCAAAAATAAAACTATCAGCAAACAGAGACCTACTAATATATCTGTATTTTCAAAATAGTTCTTCCAGTATGGCCTAATTTTTCTCTGTCCTCCAATATCCCAAACGTTCAGTTTGAATCCCTGAGATTGAACGCTTTTGATGTTAAAACCCTATAAATATGTAGCTGTATTCCCTCAGTACCTGGGTGGGAGTTGTTTGTGATATGTCTTCGGACGCTAAATGCTTGAGTATTGTTGTCTTTCCTGCATTATCCAGACCAAGAAGAAGAATCCTGATCTCTTGTTCTGGTTTTGACTTAAGCTTACGTAAAAGGTTTAATAGACCCTTAAAAAATGATCAGAAAGAAAAATATTTAAAATACCATCTGACAAGTTGACCGGCCACCTGTTGTTAGGAAAGCTATACATTGACTGGTAGAAAGTTTAAACAAATAAAGACAAGCTTGGCAAAATTCTGTATTCAGCACTCTTTTACGAGCTCTCATAAACGATACTGATATATCCAAGCTCATTTCGTGTTAATGAAATAATGTTTGTTGTTCCTCAGTAGGTTTCTGTAGGGTCCATCCCACCAATGACCCAACGTGGCTTTGATAGCCCTCATATAGTTGTGATCAACGTCAAAACCATGAAATTTATGGCATCAAAGTCATTTCCCTCGTAAATCATTTATCTTTATATGTGATTGCAGAGGGTGGTTTTATTATAATACATTAACAATAGCGTGTACCAACCTCGCCTACTTTACTAGCCTGCTGGTTTTTCTAGCTGGTCCTAATCCCATGTAAAGAGGGAGTGTTGGGGGTGGGCTAGTGACTCTACCCCCAAAAGATCAATCAACCTGCTATATAAAATTCAACGCCCAAGAAAAATAATAAGATTACAAATTATATGAAAAACAAACTTATTCTTTGCTGGAATCGGAGAGGCGAAATGACACAACGGGCTGGCTGATGTAAGCCAGTCTATAGGCAGCTGTTTAGCCTATGTGTCTTCTCTCAACGAAATATTAATAAAGTAAGAATAAGAATAAGGACGTGGAATGTCCGTGCAATGTACGAGACTGGGAAGGATGCCCAGGTAGCCAAAGAAATGGGAAGATGTTTTGTAGAAATGCTAGGAATCTACGAGTGCAGAGGAAATGGATGTGGACTGTCAAAATTTTCAACTGTGAAGCAACAATAATTTACTCCGGTTACTCAGATGACAATCACGAACACACTAAGGGAGTGGTTATAATGATTTCACCAGTAGCAGCCAAAGCCATAATGCAGTGGGAACCAATATACTCCTGCATAATCATTTCAACAAGATTCGACTCAAAAGGAAGGAAGGCAGGTTGCAATTATCCAACGCTACGCACAATGTTATGAACAACGCGGAACAAGAAGTATGATCTCCATAGACTACTACAAGCAGTAGTGGACAACATCTCAAATGGTAACATCAAAATCATCATGGGCAGTATGAATGCCAACTGAACTGGGAGCGGGAAATACAGGAAGAGGACTCATCACGGGTCGAGAGGCTCTCAGAGAAATGAATGAGGACGGAGAAATCTTCACAGACTTCTGCCCTTCCAATGATTTGGTGATCAAAGGCAGCGTGTACAAACACAAGGATATGCACAAGGCAAGAGACATGGAGTTCGCCTGACGGATACTAAACACCACAAACCAGACAGATTTCATCTTAATGCTGTTCAAGGAAGTGGAGATGCAGCTAGCCTGCTGGACACAAAGTGCAGGAGGGGTGTAGATGTGGGCTCAGACTATCATCTAGTTCAAGGAACCTCAAGTCGAAGCTAAAAAACTTCAGAACAATTGGAGACAGGCCACTGTAATTCCAGTTCAACATTCAGAAGCTGAAGGACAAAACCAAAAGCGATACCTGCACTACTGATACCAGAACAAAGTTATCACTGAGGAAACCTGTGTGGAAGAACATTGGAACTCTCTGAAGGGGATGTTCCGGGAAACGTGTACAACTGCTATAGAAAGAAAGAAAACACACGACAATGAATGGCTGTCAGTGGGTACCTGGAAGCCGATGGAAGAGAGGAGAGGAAGATGGTGAAAGGGATGAATCAGTGCAACGAAGGAGGAGCTAGCAATAATAAACATTTTTAACACACAGGATGGCTTAAGTTTAGGAAGGGGAGTGAAATGCAACTTGTTTCTACTCTTCAAAGTCATTAGGAAACATTGTCACAGTAACTCATCCGTACCGTGGGCAAATATCAAACAATATCAGCCGTGAAACCACGACCACCTTCTCAAGGTGGCTACCCACAAAATTCCATTAGGATGTAGCGGTAAATAATTCCCCAAAATTATTAACCACAACAATCGTCACTCAACATTGGATGCTGACCATCACTATTTAAGTCGACTTGTTTAGCTGAAGGCTTCCGGTCAAGCGTCCCCGCCATTTGGTACCCCGTCGTGTCACGTGCGTGCACGATTACTAGCTAGCTAAGCATTCACCTCTACCCGCGATTTTGTCCCGAAATATATTACGTACTTTTGACGACAAATTCTGGTCTTTTGCTTTATCTTTGGTACTCGAAGAACGAACACTATAGAAGTGGTGTGTCCTACATTGATAGGAAATATATATTATGATTATGAAGTTGTTGGTATAAGATCTTGCGTTAGTATAATCCGTACAACTCGCGAACTTCGATACCTGCAACCACTAAACTGGTGAGCCCAACCACGAACTACATCTTCAATTCACACGCAGATAAACCCGGTGAGTTCGTTCCTTTTTGTGTTTATTCTTGTACTATATTGTTATCGGCATACATTTCGTCATTAGTGATCCTAGCCCTAAGGTTATTCGTATACGCTCAACCGCCAAAACAATTCAGCTAGTACCATATTGGCTAGATAATGCTGAAACGTGGTTTCAGATTGCTGAGTCTGATTTTTGTGAACATGGCATAACCGATCAACGTTCACAGTTCCTTGCAGTTATTCATGCCCTACCGCGGGAATTCAGCAGGTGCGTAACTCTGCAGATGTCGTGTCCAGAGGTAAGTAACTCGTACGAGTTGCTTAAAGCATCCCTCCTCAAGAGAAACGTTCTCACGGATCGACAACGTCTGGATGAGTTATTTCGTAACATCGAGTTAGAGGATCAGTCAGCCATCAGCATGCTGGCAAGAATGAAAGAGATCATTGGCCAAAGTCAGTTCGATGAAGGACTGTTCAGACAACTATTTTTATCCAAACTGCCACAGTCAGTTCAGACTGTACTTGTGACACTTCAGGGTGTTCTCATAGATGACTTAGCTGCCTCTGCAGACAGAATTCTAGAGATAACGAAACGGCCAGTTACCGAAGTATACTCAGTTACCGAACAGACTTCGAGGAAAGATTCTGCAATGATAGAGTTATGCAACTCCGTCCAGCAGATGCTTAGGTCAAACAAGCCTAGCAATTCCTCCTACCGTCGTTCTAAATCCCCTCAACGGCAAAACGCGCGTGGACGATCTCTCAAAAATCCTGACTGGTGTTAGTGTCACAACACCTATGGCCAGGAAGCGAAATGTTGTCGAAAACCTTGTGATTTCGGCAAAGCCTCCAAGTCTGTGGGAAACTATCCCGCCGGCACGCGTTAGCGGCAACCGTCGCCGGTGGCATTAGATGTTTACTTTACATCCATGATGTAATGAGCCAGACTAGATATCTAGTCGACACAGGCGCCAAAGTCAGCGTCCTTCCTGCTACAGCAGCAGATCGACAGAAGGATCCTAACTTCAACCTACAGGCTGCAAATGGAAAACCAATTGCAACCTATGGTCGGAAATACGTCTATCTGAACGTAGGTTTACGCAAACCTATTCAGTGGATTTTCCTAATCGCTGACGTCACAATGCCCGTCATTGGCACGGACCTACTTAATCATCATGATTTGCTCGAAGACATCCGCCGTAAACGACTAATTGACAACACTACTAGTTTGTCTATCAAAGGCATAACTTACGTAGGCCCCAGCTTGTCAATCGTTAAGATTAAAGCAACCCTCGATCCAACTTTTCAACCGATTGTTGACAAATATCCGGAACTCAATTGCCCATCTAACGATCTCCCGTGTATAACCAGCAATGTTATGCACCACATCATAACCTCAGGACAGCCCGTGACATCTAAAGCACGACGACTGGCCCCTGACAAACTGAGAATTGCCAGAAACGAATTCGACCATATGCTCACCCTTGGCATCATTCGGCCATCGAATAATCCATGGGCATCCCCATTGCATATGGTACCGAAAAAGGATAGTAATGATTGGCGACCCACTGGTGATTACCGGCGAGTGAACACCAAAACAACCCCTGATTGCTACCCTTTGCCTCACATACACGACTTGACGGCAACGTTATCTGGAGTCCCTCATGTGCATAAAGTGGAAATATATTATTGTAAGACGCATTTTATTGTTTTATGAGGGAATTGACTTCAAGCTTTATTTATTTTCCCAAGTGTATGTAATCCATCCAACGCATACTTGGGTTTTTTTGTTAATGCGAAGTCAATATCTCTATATTTGTTGGTGTGTTCCATTGAATCACCAGTTATCCGATTTTCCCCACAAACTAAAGATAAAATGACAACAACCATGTTATTTAACCGTAAATCATGTAATTTAAATATGTAACTTAAATAATTCTTATCCATTCCTATACAACTTGTGTGTCCTATATTTGTATGAACAAATATGTACCCTATTATATTATCATTACTAACTATATTTACTAATCGTATGTGTAATTTATCGAAGTGATGATGCCTGTAAACTGGTGTCCCTCACGTAAAAAATGAGAATATACTATTATTATTATCTATATTCTCCAAAATCGACTTGGTTAAAGCATATAACCAAATCCCGATGGCAACGGAAGATATTCCGAAAACGGCTATCATCACGCCTTTCGGACTTTTCGAATTCCTACGTATGCCATTCGGCCTCCGGAATGCGGCACAAACATTCCAGCGCTTCATCGATGAATTATTTCGCGGTCTCGACTTTGTATACGCCTACTTAGACGACTGCCTCATTGCCAGTCCAGATAAGGAAACTCACCTTAGACACTTGGACTTGGCATTTGAAAGGTTACGCCAACATGATGTTACCATCAATATCCAAAAGTGTCAAATAGGCGTTGACTCACTCGATTTTCTGGGTCACACTATTGACGGTCAGGGCATTCACTCACTAGCTACCAAAGTCGAAGCGATACTGAACTTTCCGGAGCCAAAGACAGTGAAAAATCTTCGCACTTTCAACGGCTTGGTGAGTTATTACCGACGTTTTATTCCTAATTGTGCTTCTCTGATTCAGCCATTAACAGATCTCCTTCGAGGGAATAACAAGTCTATCGAACTTGACGCGTCTTCTCGACATGCTTTTACTCAGGTAAAAAAAGCTATTGCGGATGCCACCCTTCTTGTGCATCAGGATCCAACGGCACGCTAAGTATCTCAGTTGATGCATCAGACACTGC